CAACATGTCTGGGTCCATGATTGATACTCCGCTTTTGAACCATGCTGATATTGTTCCTACAAATTCAAACATGTCGCATGATTCATGTCTAGAATTGACCTTGGGTACAAGGGGGTGTATTGTTGGGCTTGATGGGTTCGTTATAATTCACATAAGAAGTCGTATCAAGGAACCTGTAGAAGCAATCCACATTGGCATGATATTGATATAGCCTTCGATAATTCAATATTCAGCTAATTTCATGGATTTACCCTCTGGTAAACGTTTACATAACTATGGACAATCACCATTTTTAATGGGTAAATCAACATGGATTTCAATAGTTTTTTTTGTTTCACGGCAATTGTTACTTAGATCCGGATGGATGATTGGACCATCTGGGACCTCTACCAAACCCAAGCTTCTCACCCCACGAATCCATATGTGCAATAGTCCCCAAATGGTAAATCATTGGGACGGAACTCACTACTGGTTGGTGGTTTCAAACATTGGATTAGTATGGGGCTTCATGATGATTAATGATGGTTAATGATGATTATTAATCACTGATTGGTGGTTTCAAACATGACTTTTATTTTCCATTTCATATATTGGATGTCATCCTTCCCATTGACGCACTCATATTTTTCAAGATGGTTATTGCACCACCAACCAGTCACTGTTTCTAATGAAATTGGAAACATGATTATCAACCACTGGAAATTGGGGGTCCCCTGATGTTCTGACTATCCTGCTAGAGGCTTGAAAATCACTCGAAATGGGGATGGTTTATGGAATTCATTGGATGTATTCTGATTTACCACCACACTACTCATACTACTACACCACGTTATTGGTTGGTATGTAATCTTCTTACTGTATTACTGTATCACAAGAAATGGAGATGGTATATGGCCTGCACCAACGATTGGTATGCAATTATTTGTATACTTGGTATAGGTACTATTTATATACCCCACGAAAATATCAAGTTATAGTTATTAGATGTTACCAGCAATAGTACTATAATATACCACAATGAAAACGTGTCTAGTTTAGTTATATTTAGATAGCATACACATCATCTAGTTAGTTTCAAAAAACTCCAGTGAATCGAATTAGCAAAGATATGAAGCTACTATTTGAACACAATGTCCCCATCCAACCCACAAATTGTCGACCCAGTTGTTAACGATCATTAGCCCATATTTGTTGCTGCTGTACATTCTTCACTGTCACGTTCGCCTATATTTGTTGCGCTGCTTTAAGATCGCCGTTTTGTTGGTGAATCTACTGCTACTGTCGGACATGTTCTTGGCATGTAGATATTGTTGCAGAAATATATGGTGGTTTCCTAACTCATGGGGGTAGCCCTACTACTGTAGTTCTCATCCATTTATAGATGGAATTTCCCATGATAAACCATCCAGCGAGCTCGCTTGGGGGCTTGCCCCATGACTATGGAAAAGCCCATAGCCACCATCCCGAGTTGGGGATTCAGCAAATTTGCCCCCGATCTGGGTAAATTTCATCACTGGGAATTATACCAGCAATATATGGGAATAAATGGGACATATATAGCTAATCATGGGATAATAGATGATAATAGATGATAATAGATGATAATAGATGATGATAGATGATAATAGATGATAATAGATGATAATCGATGATAATAGATGATAATAGATGATAATAGATGATTATCTGGGTAAATTTCATGACGACCGAACCCTGTTCGACCGAGCCCTGGAATCATGGTGAATAAATGTTAATAAGGGAAATCATCCCCATAGCTGACCGAACAATTCAGGTTAGTGAATTATGATAATTTACCCTGCCCTATGACTGGGATAATTTACCATCTGTTTATTAAAGATAGCCATGGAAAATCCACCAATTTTTAATAGGTAAACCATCTACAAATGGGCCATGCCTTCCATGGCAAACTGTTAAATAACCAGAGGGTAGATGTCGAGTTCCCTCATGGTTGGTTAATGGGATGGTTTCCCCCCATTTTTTTTGTCCGTAGAAATATAGCCAGTATCTCCCATTCCCATAGTTGACAACATATGGGTATGTCTGAAAATGGGGTATACCCCCAATTATAGCCATTTAGTAGAGATAATGATCATTTAACCATTGGGTGTAGGGGTACACTATTTTCAGACAAACCCATCTCTTATAAATTATATGGTGAGAGTTTACTGTTGGGTTTATCACATAGTGAAAACCCTCTGGTTTTCACATTTACGTAGCTTTGGAAGTTAATTGGTGATCTTTATATAGTCGATTTACCTATGAAACAAATAGTGATTTTGTCGTGTTTTTTCTTGCATATCACCCTGAAACACGGTGACACCGGGACAGTTTTGTTACTATTTGTGAATATTTGGGCATTGATTATCCATCAGTGCTATTGGTTCTTTATACATTCATATTTCTTGGTGGACCTCCCCCTCTAAGCAACCTATATATATATGATTATATATGTAATATAACTTCTTTTTTGTCTGCTTCATAGACTTCACATCACGAAAACTACATGTTGCTTAACTCCCATATTAGATCCGCCATTTTCAGTCACCACGAATTCCCATTTTCAGTCACCACTCATTCCCATTTTCAATCACCATTAAACCAGCATTTTCAATCTCCTTCAGTGGTTAAAACTGGTTAAACCGACTCGACTCGACTCGACCGCATCCTCCAGGGCAAAGCGATGAGGACATCTCTCGGTCCATGATGTTGACGGAGGTTCTGGAGGACGAAAATCGACGTGGTTTTTGGCGCGCCAGGAATGGCCGGAGGAATGAAGGAAAAAAACCACCATTTTTCATGGGAAAATCCAGGATTTCTATGGCAATTTTCAATAGCAAACTGTTTGTGGTTACTGTATAAATGGTTGGTGGTTTGGATCATGAATTTTACCCTCTGGTTATTTAACATAGCCATGGAAGCCATGGCCCATTTATAGATGGTTTACCTATTAAAACTGAGTTATTTTTCCATATATTGGGAATAATAAGCATCCCAACTGACGAACTCATATTTTTCAGAGGGGTAGGCTAAAAACCACCAACCAGTGAAAAATGGGGCAAAAGATGTGATGAAAAAAGAAGAAAACCATGGGAATGTAAGTAGAAAAAGATCAAGATTGTTCATCAGCGATTAAGATGGGTTTAAAATGATTCAAAGCAGATTTTTGTCACCATGTTTTTGCAACCAAGAAAGTTGAGATTTGAACTGAACTGACCAAAATGGGGACAACATTCAGCAATATTTCTGTTTTTTTTTGATAACCATCACAAAAAACGAGGAGTTTAATACCAATTTTCAGGGAATTTCAGCAATTTTCGTTGAGTCCAACTGGGCACTGGTGCATATCTTAGATGATTAGGGCCCCATAAGATCCCTTTGTTTTTCAATGGCCATTTCAACCGGCCAAATTTCCGGGAATCTCCTCAGTACAGTACCTCAGTCCTTAGGGTCCCTAGTCGTCGTGACCATTTTTACCCGGAAAAGGGATTACGATTTACCCATCAGTTCATGTTTGGTTATATACATATTCATACATATTCCATTATATATAGATACATATATATATATGTTTGCAAATTTTGTTGGTAAAATTCCAGTTTCTGTTTTGTCAAATCTCCATTTTTGGTTGGTGAAATAACACATATACCCACACATCCACGTTAATTCTATTCAAATTTGTTGCTTCCATCATCTTCCATCCATCGCTTGGGGTAACTTACCCTTTTCTGTGGGTACATTGTATATCCCGTTAAGTCACCATTAGGTCCCAATAAATCACCATATATCACCATTTAAAAAACACCATTCGATTCCAACAGATCACCATTAAATCACCATTAAGTCGCATTAAATCATCATTCAATCCCAGTATACCAGCATTTTTATAGTTTAAATCCTATGAAAAATCCCAAAAAAAATCACCATTAAATCACCTTGAAAGCCACCTTTTTCAGCCACCATTTTTGTTGGTCATTCCCATTAAATCATCTTTTTTTCTATGAAAAATCCCTATAGATCACCATTGAATCACCATTTTTCTGGGTGAACTGTGGATTCCAGGAGCTGAGAAAGCTCCGACCCTATGGCAGTTGCGCATCCATCAAGGCCGCAGGAAATGGAGAGTTTCGTTCAGTGGAAAAGCACATTTCACCAAGAAAACTAAGGGTTTAACCAAGAGAAAAGGGATCTAACCAACAGAAATAAGGGTTTAACCAACAGAAATAAGGGTTTAACCAACAAACATCAGGGTTTAACCAAGAAAAAAGGGATCTAACCAACAGAAATAAAAGTTTAACCAACAAAAAAAAGTTTCACCAACAAAAATAAGGGTTTAACCAAGAAAAAAGGGATCTAACCAACAGAAATAAGGGTTTAACCAAGAAAAAAGGGATCTAACCAACTGAAAACGGGATTCAACCAGCAACAATGGTGGTATATAGAATGGGGATATATAGGGATATATAGTGGGGATGATTCATCCACAACGGTGTCCTCAGACATTGTGATTGCTGGGAAATCCCCCGGGATGTTCCAGCAAGCAATGTTACCAGAGGGTACATCTGGATAAATGGAGATTGAAGTACCCTCTGGTAAATAAACATAGACCCTGAAAATCACCAATTTTTAATGGAAACTAGTCTTCCAACCCCTATCTGCCAGGGTCTATGTTAATTTACCAGAGGGTATATTTATATTTGGTACCTCATCTCAGTTTATTATAGCTTCAATCAGAAGCAGAGTAAGTACGGGGGAAATAGTCAACCGAGTAACTGGTGTTGAACCACCATTTGATCGAATTTATGGATAGCGAATGCGATTAGCCAATATATGCCAGTATGAACCAATCAATTCGCCAATCTTACCCTCTGGTAATGACTAACATAGCTATTGAAACCATGGCCATAGAAATAGTTGATTTACCTCTTAAACATGGTGATTTTCCATAGTTCTTGGTATGACCAGAAGGTAACCACACCAGGCCGCTGCCCAGCTCCGCCGCGGCTACGCGGCGCTGAAGCGGCGCACGCAGCCGCTGGCTGAGTGGGTCCGGAGGCAGATCCGGGACCGGTGCTGTTTTAAGGGATATGGGTTGTACATGGGTTGTACATGGGTTTTACATGGGTTTCACATGGGTTTTATATGGTTTTTATATGGTTTTTGTATCATTTTATAGGGCTTTATATGGGTTTTACATGGTTTTATATGCTTTTTATATGGTCTTTATATGGTTTTTGTATGGTTTTATATTTATAGGGCTTTATATGGGTTTTACATGGGTTTTATATGTTTTTTTAAATATAGTTTTGTATGGTTATATATATATATATGGATGGTATATATTCATAATTGTGGATTCATAGAGGATCAACTTTGATGGGCTTGTATATTCAGAACGACCTTATGGCAGTTTTGGGTGCGCTTTTTTTTGCACACACCATAACATACCATAACAGCCTCATGATGGTGTATTTTTTTGGAATATCCTGATTTTTGAAATATATATATAAGGTATTTCATGATATCCTGACTTTAGACATACATAATCATGCATAATGATAATAGAAACACATTATCATTTAATTGATTTACGACACACACACATATATATACCTACACTATGTGTATATAGTAATCCTGGAGTAGATAGCCTATGATAATTTCACAAAATCCTCATTACAATGGGAATGATATTGAAGAATCGATATCCTATCTACTTCAGGATGACTGTATAGTACTATATGTACAATGTCAACCCCGGATGAATAAACCATAGATGCCATAGCTTATTAATTAGGGAGGTACTTCCCCAAGAGTCATAATCTGATACAGAAATGATAGCCCCCCAATTAAACAGCCGTTTGGGGTTTATTAATTAATCCAGGGTTGACATTATATATACCCTCAGGAAAACGTTTACACAACTGATGGGAGAATCACCATGTTCAATGGGTAAATCCACTATAAATCACCATTTTCAATAGCAAACTGTTAGTTTACCAGAGGGTATTTTGAATGGCTCGGTTCAACTTGTTCAACTTGTTCAACTCGATTTTTTCGGAGATTATACTCACCATATAGGGGATTATTACACTAGCTGACAATCCACTAGCTCTTGGGCTGTAAATTTCTGTCCTCTGCTTCAAGGCCGGTTGAATTTTGGCGATCGACATGGAAAATCCCAGCTTTGAATGGGGAAAACTCTGGAAATGATGGGGCAATTTGGGACAATCAGAATGCACATCATATATGTGATGATTGTTGCTATGAGTTTCTCTCGAAACATGCGGGAAAATATATGATTATTTTAATGGATGTTTGAAAAAAATGATTCATGCGGAACAATCATCTATTTATGGATGTTTTTAATATGATTTTACAGAACCCAGGATGGAACATCATCGATTCATGGATGTGTTTTTTGTCCGTTGTGCCTCTTCAAACAGCATGGCCAAGCCACGACCTCAACGGCTCGTCATCAATTCCTAGGCTTTCCCGAACGGTAAAGGTTTAGATGTGGAAAACACAGGAGGAATGTAGATCATTTTCATTCGTTTTCCGAACTTGTTTCCCCATGTTTTTTTTTCGACATTTTGGTTGGAACAGTTTATTTTTGGTATCCGTGTCCCCAGCATCTCCCATACCTTGTTTCCCCAGATTTGTTGGCTTTTCCCAAAAATGTTCAGGCAACCCCGAAAAGCATATTGTTGGTTATATGCCTATCGTATCCTCATCATATTCCACCATTATGTCCCCCTAAAAATTGATGATTAATCACCAAACAAAGTCAGTTTTTTAGATCCGTCCCTACTAATTACCCTCTGGTAATTTAACATAGCTATTGAAAATGGCCATAGAAATAGTGAGTTTTCCCATTAAACATGGTCATTATCCATAGCTTTTTGTATGTTTACCAGAGGGTATATCCCCCAAACTTGATGCCATTTAGATCAGGTTCCCATTGACATGGCCATGGGGCCCTTGCTGTCCAGGATGGAGCTTGACTACTGCCGAGAACTTTCCAAGCAGCACCAGATGTTGCAAGAGGAGGTGATGATTTTTGGTGGAGACAATGGGCTCCTGCAGGAGATTCTACATGGCTTCAGGATGAAGGGTGTAACATTGTTAGTTGAAATAAGCTGGTATTGGACTGCGAGGATCAATTCTTGGGATATAAACAATTGGCACAATCACAGCGTGCATGTATGTGTACATATATATATGTGTATATGTATATAGTTATATATATATATGTATATGTATATGTAGTTATATATATACACATATGCAATATGTGTATATGTGTATATATATACACATAATAGGCTTAGCATCTAGACTCTAGACATCCCGAAACATGTAGTTTGGAAGATGAGTTCTCTCATCCCCAACAAAAGCAAAGCCAACGTTGTAAAAATAGGCTGAAGATGATCTCCTAGATGATATCTGGGTAAATCACAGTGAATGTATAGGGGAGTCATCCCCATAGCTGGCCCAACATTTCAGGTTAGTGAAATATGGTTATATCTATGGTTAATTAACCATAAATACCATATAAATTGACCATAGATTAACCATAGATTACATACATTGAACATAAATAACACTGGTTGGTGGTTTGGAACATGACTGGATTATTTTTCCATCAATATTGGGAATTTCATCATTCCAACTGACGAACTCCATCATTTTTCAGAGGGGTAGGTATACCACCAACCAGATTATCATTTACCTGGAAAATTTCTATGTATCACTGGGAATGGGATGCACATCCAAGCAGTGATTCAATTCCAGACGTGCAAATCATGGCATTGTTTCCACCTTTCGTCTTCCAAACTTACAGCGTGCAAGGTTTGGAGATGTTGATTGGCCAAAATCCACTTCTCGTGTTTCTTGCGGTCAAGTCTGGCGATTTGTTGGCTAACACCCCAATTTCTCACCTGAAATCCCGCTAAATCCATCTGAATCCGAAGGTTTGTTGGTGGTAAGCGTCCCATTTCCACAGCAACCGCGTCCTTCTCATCCTTATGAAATCCCCCAACAGTTCGTGTCTTTTTCCAGTTTTCGCAGGTGAATGCTTTCTGCCAGCAACCGGAGAGGTGGGCGAAGGGCTAATTTGTTTGTCTAGCACCCAATTGATGATTTCTGTGAGAGAAAATATCCTGGGTTTTCTCAGGAATTAATGGACCATATCTATGATGTTCCAAGCCACAAAGAGTCCCAAACGAACAACTCTTTGAAGTCCCATCAAAACTCAGTCTTCTCCAAGGGCTCCACATTTTTGTTGCTTAAAAACCTCTCCACCTTTTGTGTTTGATCCTCAAATGCTGCCAAGTGGCTAAGGTGGCTAAGGTGATATTCAGGGCCCAGTATCAATTGCTCTAATGATCGTGCGGTTGTTGTTGTTGTTGTTACTATTATCTGGTTGGTGGTTTCAAACATTTTTTATTTTCCAAAATATACGGGATAATCCTTGACTAATATTTTTCAAGATGGTTAAAACCACCAACCAGTTATTATTGTTGTTGCACTTGACCAAAACCCAAGGATCCAGGAGGCAACAAAAACGCATACATTTTTAACATCCAATTCATGACATCCTAGGGTAGTTCTTTTAACAAATCCTGAGCTGTGTTACGCTCGTTACGGCTATAGTTGTTTTTTGATTTTTGCTGCTGACTTAAATCCAATTTAATTATTATTTAATTCCCATAAAAACCCTCCGGTAATCAAACGTGGCAATTGACATACTCTATAAACTGAGATTTTCATGAGAAAATCCTCTATAAACAAATGAGGAACTGTTCATTACCATGTTTGATCACCAGAGGTTATATCATGTATAAACACAACATCATCATCAGCATCAGCATCAGCATTATTATCATCATCATCAGCATCATCATCATCAGCATCATCATCATCATCAACAACAACATCATCAACATTTTCATAAACATTATCGATTTCAATCTGAGGGATGACTCAGGGATTTCATCCACAAAACATGTGCAACATGTGAAATTTAGAAGCCACGACGGGTTCTGTCAAATCGTTTATTTGATGATGCTGATGAATAGAATCAGAAGCTGCTGTTAAATGCCGTCCACGTAGTATTAAAGACCCAGAAACTGTGATTGAGTAGGATTTTTACACATATTTGGACTATTTGTATAGGTGGTGTACGGAGGTGTTAAATATTCATCCGAGGATGGGATTGCTATAACCCTTGGTGTTATATTATTGACTATTCATTTATCCTTGGTGGTGTTATATTGAGTAGGATTTCCGGGGATATCCTCTGGTAAATTAACAGTTTGCTATTAACAATTGCTATTTCTAGTTGATTTACCCACTCAAACATGTGATTTTCCACAGCTATGTAAACGTTTACCAGAGGGTAGGAAACCCTATAAAAAACCCCTATAAACTAACTCCTGCACCACCTTATATAGATGGTTGAAACCCCCAAAAATGGGATGTTTTTTTCAGCGTTTTCAACTGGTGTCAGACTTCCATCAGTATGGTTGACCAACTGGTGTTCCATGTTAAATATCCAATAAAACACCATGTTATTTTCCCTGGTGAAATTCCCAATTTATGGGGGATAGAACTATGGTTACTCTCGGGTCATCAAACGTGGCTGCCTGGAAAATCACCAATTTAGTTCGTAGATTTTCCTATTCAAAGCTCCACTTACTGTATAGTGGATTTCCAGCTGCCATTGACACCGGAGGGTAACCAGAGGATTGCGATACCCTCTGTTAAACATTTTGAAAATGGCCCATTTAGTTCGTTGATTTACCGAACTTAAAAATGGCGATTTTCCATAGTTATGTTAACGTTTACCAGAGGGTATTTTTATTTTTCCATATATTGGGAATGTCATCATCCCAACTGACTTTCACTCCATCATTTTTCAGAGGGCTAGGTATACCACCAACCAGGTAAATATGGAGGTTTCCTAAAATCGGGGTACCCCTAAATCATCCATCGATGGATTTTCCATGAAATAACCATAAGTCAATGGCAATTCCAGGATAACCATATTTTAGGCCATATTTTGTGGGGATATTCCCGAAAAATAGGCCTAAAAAATAGGCCTTATATATGGTAGGTACCTCCAATTTAGGATCCTGGAATGGCCATTGAATAAGTTGATGACTTCCATCCCTTGTCTCCCCAGTCCCGCGGACGCCTTGGCGGCGCAGCGTCTGGTCAGAGCACTGCGGCTGCATGAGACGCGGCGCTTGAAACGCATGGGTCCCAGAGCCGATGGAGGCGCCAGCGGATGGCCATTCTTCATTGAACCAGCCAAAAATACAGGGATTTATGGGATTGATGTGGGATTTGTATGGGATTTATGAGACTGATATGACATTTGTATGGGACTGATGATAGAATTATGGGATTGATGTGGGATTGATTTGAGATTTATATTGGATTTATGAAGGAGTCATGCAACAAGAATGAGGGTATCCAGTATGCAAGAAGAATGGGGGCAAACCAGGGTAAACCAACTGTAATATGGTGATTTTCATTCGGGATACAAGGACAATCATGGGCGCAAACGGACTGTAATATGGTAGTATTTTTTGAGATATAACGGATAAGACATCATGTAAACCAACTATGATATGATAGCCTGGTTGGTGGTTTCAAACATATTTTATTTTCCATTTCATATATGGGATGTCATCCTTCCCATTGACGAACTCATATTTTTCAAGATGGTTAAAACCACCAACCAGTATCTCTTGATGTCGTTTTTGGATGACCGGTGCGAAGACATCCGGATTTTCTGTGAAACATTAACGTTGACCAGAGGGTTTTTAACCACCATTTTCCGAACTGGTTTTCCTATGATTTTCCCTTAAAAATGACCAATTTTGCTGCAAAGTTCAGTTGATTTCTGGAACCAAACCTTGAGCATTTGCTGGGCATGAAACCCACCCTGTGGTGTCATAGTCGCCATAGCCTTGGAATCCTTGGAACATAGAAATATCGCTTGGTTCTCCTGGAGCCTTGCAATGTTGCTAGTTCACTGGCTAGATACATCTAGATACCTTGTATGTCAGAAACAGTGGATGTTCGGGCCTCAATCTTTTACCCAAACAACCATGTTACCCAATTTTTTCGGTGATCCAGTTCCAATCAACATCACAGTAAACTCAGTAAACCATCATCGTTTGTTGAAAACATATCCAGAAGTGTTGATAAACAAATCTAACCTCCAGTGTTCAGAACCATCCCTGGTGTGTTGCAAACCAATCATTCTCATTCTACTCGTTTTTTTTTTCACAGCTTGGATTCCCACGTCTGGAAACAAAGCAGTGCTTGGGGTGACCCTGTCTCCGCCTGAGCAATGAATAGCAATGCACTCTGTTGCAACTGATGGTTGAATGACAAGTATATAGTTTGATATGGATTATATTGTAAGTACAACCATGGGAATGATGAGCAACTGGTTAAATGATGAGGAACTGGTTTCTAGGAATTACCCGCGTTTCCGGAACACACATTCTTTCCCCAGCTTTGCCGCACGTTTTCCCTTCAATTACACCCATATCCCCAGAAGTACTGAAGTACTTCTCAGCTGTCGCAGGCTATGTTGTTTTTGACCATGGTTTTCGACCTTTGTGCAAGTACTTGCTCAGTTCTTTGGTGGAGCTGCCAGTGCACACAGAGTGCGTTTGGTTTTAGTGGGGGGTTCAAAAAAGAAGTGACATGACCAGTAGGTGAAAAATAGGCCATATTTAATTTGAATGTGGGTTTGTCTGAAAATAGGGTATATTCCCAATGAAATAGCCATTTAAAAATGGGATAATGATCAGCAAAACCATTGGGTAAAAAGGGGTACACGACATTTTCAGACACACCCATGTACAGGATTCCAAATGTTTCAGTTTCCAATCCATGGGGGTTACTCCCAAGACATCCATCTCAACATGTCCATTTTAAACCATCCAATGCTCGCTTGGGGTACCATCATGACTATGGAAACGTCCATATATTTCCTATTATAGATTCGATATTTCCATATATTTCCTATAGATTTCCATATATGTCCTATAAATGTCTATATATTTTTACAGGGTTCTATTCCCTATCCTCTTCCACCAGTAGAAGCCATGGTCATTTTGGGGCCTGGGGATGGACCACTAAGCCCATGGTCTGTATAGGAAGCCCCAAAAGGAAAGAACACACTTTTTCAGTAGGATTTTGCTCAAATCGATTTTTGTGGAGGTTTCTATTATATATATACATAATCATATATACATATATAATCATACATATATGATCATATATATATAATCATACATATATAATCATATATATATATAATCATATATATATAATCATATATATATATAATCATATATATATACATAATCATATATCCATATATAATCATATATATAATCATACATATATAATCATATATATATAATCATATATATATATAATCATATATATATAATCATATATATATACATAATTATATATACATATATTATAATATATATATAATCATACATATATAATCATATATATATAATCATATATATATAATCATATATATATAATCATATATATAATCATATATATATACATAATCATATATACATATATAATCATATATATATAATCATACATATATAATCATATATATATAATCATATATATATATATACATAATTATATATACATATATAATCATATATATATATAATCATACATATATAATCATTTATATACAAATATAATCATGTATATATATACATAATTATATATATGTATATATATATATACATAATTATATATATATACAAATACATAGACTCGTTACAATGAATCCGCAATGATGGGATGACCGTACCCCATAAATCCCATGTAAGGCAGTACCACCTGGGATGCCAGTTCCAGTTCAACTCGTGGTGACTAGCCAGTGGCATCACCATTCACCAACCATACCACAAACTGTTTGAAGAAGTTTCGACAGGTCAATTGACTCAATTCTTCCATCAAGTCCATCATTCTCGCTTCTCGAGCCAACAGTTCTGATTTGTTTTCAAATCACTACAGTTCTGAGTACACTTAAATGATGAATATAATTCGCTATCGAATTGCTTCGATTATTTCCCATTGGTTCTTTGTCCCTTCTTAAGAGTCAATAGTCGCTATTTCGCCACAGCATTGTAACGACAAACATACACTTAGAACATTGTTTAAAAGCTCTTTAGCGGGGATGTACATTAATAACATCCCAAACATATACACTTAGAACATCCTAGGGGGACCGTATGAATGTTCTAAGTGCATGTCCGTCCGTCAACCTAATATAGCACATGTAAAAAACCCATGACAATTTGTTCCCTGCATTATTTCGCATTTTTGGGCAGGAACAATACATGTGAAAGTAACATTAAGTAACCTAATGCCTGATTCCATGCACAGAAACACACTTGGAACACATGGCTGCACATGGCATCATTTTTTTGGAGATGTTCTAAGTGCATCAAAAAAACAATGGTTTTATGCTCTAAGTCTAAGTCTGTACTTAGACACCAATATTCTTTTATTTTGATCTTCTAAGTATAGACTCTGTTTCTAAGTGTATGTCCGTTAATATATTGGCATTTGTTAATGATGTTATTGAGTCATTCCATTCCTCCAAAAGTATCTTTCCATTTTATATAAATTATGAATCAGGTTATTGTACATTCTAATTATCGAGTATATATGCGTCATATTCTGCTGCAATTGTGTATTATGTAAGCAATTATCCATTGTGTGGTGTTCCATTATACAAACATATACCCTACGATAAGCTAACATAGATGCGGAACCCCCATTTTCCAAATCTATGTATATAAAAGTTTACAGGAGGGTCATACTGTGGATGGTTGCGAAATCCTGCACCAGTTGATTGGTGCTTTACATCATTTTACATCGTTATTTACAGGCTTTCAACCATTCAAGGTGGTGCAAGATTCCGCAACCATCCACAGTATCAAGTTGGGTGTTAGGAAACTAACATCTATAATCTATCATAATCTATCAAAAAATGCTGGGTTTTCATGGGTTTTCCATGGGTTTTCTATGGGTTTTCCATGGGTTTTCCATGGGTTTTCTATGTGAGTTACAGATGTTCTCCCATGGATTCAGCGTATGGATTCTGCTTCTCAGGTTATGGCGTGGGGACCAACGTGGACTTCGAATGGGAGCTGGCGCGCCTTGGAGCCGAACATTTCAGGTTCGTGAATTATTTACCCATATACATATATTATATAATATTATATATTTATATAATGATATATATATATATATATACATACATATTGCATATATATATATACATACATATATATTAAGGTTTCGGTTCATGGGGGGTCGGTAGTGCGATTTCAGCCGACTTCCCTAACTTTAGCCTTAGGGGGGGCGATCTTTTTATGCCATTTCGCCACCTCGTGGTTTGGTTCACTGCTGGAATTTGGATCTCCCATCTCTGCAGTCATCAGGGGGGCACGCGAAGCTGGGTGGCACCGGCGGCTCAGAAGAGTTCGTCAGAGGTGCAGGGCTTTCATCCGGAAATTCGTTGTGAAACCACTGGGAAAGAGGACAAAGCGCAAGGTCAGGAGTGCAATCCAGTTGCTGGCTGGACATCATTCCTACGATCAGAGACAAGTCCCACCCCAGATCTGGTGGCAGCTAGGGATGACGTGGTCTTGTCAGCAGTGCAAACAAAACAACACGGAACACCAGGAGTATTGCAGGAATTGCAGAGCTCATTGGTCCAAAGTATGGGTGAAGCCGAAGCGCCGTTCAAGGAGCAAGAGCGCCAAGGCTACCTCCTATCGAGACGCAGCTCATCAAGAGCCAGTAGAGGAGAATGTGGATTGGAATGTTTTTCCATTGAAAGCACCATGGATACCAACCACGCCCTCCAGTCGGGTGCAAGGCAAGAAAGGGGAGACGACAGTTGGAGCTGGGTCCAATGTGCCCAGCGCACAACAAGTAGTCCAACCAGCACAAGTGAGCAACACCGACATGGCTTTGACTGCGGAGGAGGAAAAGATTTTAGAAAACCTGAAAGGGTTGCAAGAGGCGGGTTTGGAGCTTTCCATGGACATGCAGCAGAAACTAGAAATTCTAGTTGCCAAGCAAGCAGTTGGAGCCAAAAAACCGCTGACTCATGGGCATCTCAATCGCTTGAACAAGGTCAAGTCGCAATTGACGAATGCAGCCAAAAGAATCGAGGAGCTGGACCAGGAATGGTCAAGCTTTGTCCAGAAGAATATGGAGAAGGTCAAGCAGCATGCGGCTATGTATCAGTCCTGCAGAGCGGATCTTCTCGAAGCTTACAACACCAAGTTGGAGGAGCTCTCAATGTTGAAGAAAGAGATGACAGAAGCATCCTTGTCCATGTTGGCACCGGCAGTCACAGTGGCGCCCATGGAGAAGAATGTGGATGTGGAACAACAGATTCACAGCTTGAAAGAAGTCATCGACATAGAGAGTATCGTGGGTGCCGTGGATTTGACCGAAGACATGGACGAGGAGGTACAAATGGGGGGAGGAAGCACTGCAGCCAGCAAGTGTCTGCCCAAGAATCCCAAGCCTTTTCGTGGGGCGGCATCTCCAACCAAGGTAGCCAATCAGCATCTAAAGCAGAAAGCTCAAGATGCGAAAGAAACAAAAGCCAAGGAGTGAGAACTCAGCATGTAGACTTCATGGACAGCGGAGTTGACAGCTTTGATCTCTGGTCTTTTGTTTGGGACAAGGAGAAGGAGAAACGAGTGCTGTGCGATGATTTGTCTCGGCATTTTGATTTTCCTTATACATGGCGGAATTGCTTGAAGCGAGCCACTGATTGCACTGACCATGAGGTTAATGGTACAGGGTATGGTACACATTCCTCTCATCCCAGTGTCTTCAGTAATGAAATGAGCGGCATTTGGTGTGGCAGGGCGAATTTTGTTGATGAACAGGTAGTCCATGCGGGCTGTGACGGCCAGTTCTCAGATGCTCCAGCTGCACATACAAATGCTATCCATTTGCAAGACTCCATTATTCCTTGCGGGAATCTGGAGTCTCATGAATTGTCAGATGTCATTTTGCGAAGTCAGAATGCTATGATCGGAAACGGGGCATCTGGAGAAATGTGTGATTTTTCGGATGCGGAGAGTCCTTCCAAAATCTCCGGACAAGGTGGAAGGACTCATGTCCAATACTCATGGGAAACATTTGCAGGTGTCGATTTTTCCAGTGAACTGCTTGAATCCCATACATGGCAGCATTTTCAAGAGTTTGAACCTCAGCGTTTTGCAGATGGATCCTCTTTGACTGCTGGTGATTCCCTCTTTCGAGTTCGTGGGGAGGATAACACGGATCTCTCCAGTCCTCAAGGGAAAGAAAGAAATGGGCAGCAAGGGAAGTTAGAGCCGCGACATTTTGTTGCAGGAGCCTTCGCCTTGCAGGAAACATGTAACCATACTGTCCACACATCCCCAAACTCCCTGAATAGGGCTAGAGGAACAGAAAATGCGGGTTGTGACTGCAAGCAGATATGGGAGATGGAGGGAAAGGACAGTGATGATATGGATCAACGACATGAATTTTCCCAGGCACCGATCCCTGGTGCTACCAGATGTGCAAGGGAAAAACAAAGAAGAGTCCTTTTTCGTGATGAAGTTGAGATTCGTTGTTTTATGGAACAGGCACAAGTGGATGTTACCATTCATCACACTCTTGTCAGTCGTTCTTGTAGAACTTTGTGGCACTTGCATGGCCAAATCGCGCAATTCCCTGATTTTGCGAGAGTTTTGGGTGCCGCTGGAAGTGTTTGCCAATCTTCTTATCGTCAACATGACATGTGTGAACATGAGAAGGGCCAGATTTCCATTCCAGGAGAAAAGCATCAAGGAAACTCAGAGAACATTGGTCTTAGCAGTGAGGATGCGGGGTGTTTGATATGGCCTGAAGGAATTGCCGACGAAACCAGTAGGTTGCCGGTCTTCGCCGATACTTGGTTTGTGTCCGCCCATCGCTTCCCTTTGTGCGTGAGGCCTAGGAAAATCCAGTTGCGGGATGATTTCAGGGATGATCCCCATGCAATGGAACAGCTGTGTAGACAAGTTTGGCGAGATGTGGATGATGGCAGGTCTATCAAATTCCACCTGTTGACATCGGCTCCCACTCGGTTGCCGAGTATCAAATTTCACATTGTCATGACTCAGGGAGACTTGACAGGTTGGGACTGGACGATGTTGTATTCGCTGACACTCCCTCCTTTGTTTCGACATAGGATTGTTTTATTTCCAGATGGTTCGACAGTTGATGATTTCTTTCGACATGCCCAGGTGGAAGGAGCATGTGAACAGAACAGAATTGCTTGTTATCTCAATTTCGTCGAGCATCTGGATGAGATCACTCTTACAGGTCAGCAGCAATTCCAAGTCCCATTAAGCCGTTATGTGGAAGGGCAGGTGCGTGTCGTTGGAGATGTAACTGACACAGTTGTTCATAGTGAGACGACCAGTGAAGCTGAGACTATGCTTCCAGATGATGATGAAGTACATGATGATGAGATTTCTCTTATGTCAGCGGGACCCTTGATGTTCCAACTTGACGATGAGGACCCATATCCTTGGCAAGTAGAGGGTCTACTGGATTTGGATGAACAAGAGATGCAAGAAGAACAGCTGCAACCAGAAATCATTTTTGCTCCGCATCACCAAGGCTTGTTGCAAGATGAGATTGAGGATTTTACCGATGTGCAGGAGGAGGATGACACACCTTGGGTAGCAGCCACCTTCGGGCTTGGCTTAGTTGATTTGGGACGCAGGGATATTGAATTCCAGCCCCACGACCTACCTGGACTCCTGCAAGAAATTCTCAGAGTCTGGCAAGACCACGCTCAATATGCCAATTTGGTGGTGTACAATGTTCACCCACAGCCAGTGGATATCATTGGAAGACGGGCAGTCGCAATCATTGTGGTGGTTGATTTGCCTGAAGCATTGGACCTTTCAGTGCGAAATGTTTTGATTGTAGAACAGGCAGCAAACGATGTCACTGCAAGGGCTCAGCCATATGCTGCGCGTCTGACCAGTGAAGCATCACAGAGAGAAATATTGGTGCAACTTGATCTACATCGAAATTGTCCGCCTTTTGCTTTGCGACCATGCCATATTCGGTTGGGTGAGGTCTTCATGGAGAAAAATGTGTTCTATGATTTTGATCATGGCACCCTATGCAGCACTTGGATCGGCCAAGTCCATGCGCAAGTCACGGAGGCAGAACAGAGCATCTTTAATGTCGAAAATTTCTTCTTGCAGGTGCATTCATACATTGAACACCGCGAAGATGTTGACAAGGTGCAGCGTGTTGTTTGTCGAGTCCATGGCATCACGCCAGGCAACAGACCGATGGGACACAGAGATGTCATCATTGATGTTGAATGGTTGTATGATTTGGAATGGATCAGACAAATGCAAACTTTGTGGCCTTTTGACAGTGAAACGGTGGCTCTATATTTTGCGCCATCGGCCACTGATGACATGAACGAAGTGGAGGAGGTGGTTTTTCATTTCATTGCGAAATGTGGATACAATCCTGGTCATCCAATTCTGGTTCATCAGCAACTAATATCTGTTGAAGAAACTCCACGTGATCCACAGGGTATTAGTGAATACTGGGCGATTTCAGTTCCGGATGGTTGGGCAGGATCCGGAATTGTCAATTCACTCACTTCGCGCCCCTTTTGGTTTGAGTATGCTCGACAAGAATGTGTGTATCCTCATCTTGCGGTCAATGGAGTCAGATTGAGGGATGTCAGGCAAGTTTGGCAACCAGGCGATGTCCTTAGAGCCCGCTTTTTAGTGTGGCAAAGACATCACATGCTGGAGCTTATGATGGGAGCCAGCAATCATGACATGGCCAATGATGTTGAATTCACCTCCTTCCTTCAGAAAAGGCCTTTCAAGAGGCCTAGCCAAGAGCGGCAGCAACTCTCCGATGAAATTTGGCAAGCAAATGATGAACAAAGCAATCCTATTTTGGATTCTTTCATGGAAGTTTGTATCAGTTTGCGAGACGCTGGAATTAGAGCGTTAGATGGCAATGCTGAGGTTGAAGAGGTTGAGGTTCAGTCGCAATGCCCGAGTTTTTCGGATGAGAAGTGCATGGACGAACTCAAGGATAGTAGTCGTGCACCATCCAGTGTGATCAGCAAGGATAGTGAGGAGGACCCAGTCATTGATGCGTTGGTCAAGTCCTTGCAAGTCATTTATGACAGAGGGCATAGTGGTATCAATTGCGATTTCATGGTCGTGCCTCATATTCACCCTCATGCACGCATAGCATGTGAATGGGTACCACCAGGGTCACACAGTGGTCATGTTTGGCATATCTTCACAGATGGTTCTGCTAAAAAGGAGAGAGCCACTTGGGCGATTGTCATCATCAAAGAGGTGTGCGTGGATGGCAGACTCACTTATGCGCGTGTGGGCTATGCTGCAGGAGAAGTCAATGAAGCACTGGGGCCAGTGGACCAGAATGCAATGGATGCGGAAGCAACAGCAATTATTGCTATGGTCGAATATGCCATTGCAAACTGTGTAGTGCCGGAGTCTCATGTTTACTGTCATTTTGATGCAATGGCGGTTGGTTTTGGTGCAACCGGAGTCTATGGCATGCCACAAAGGAGGGGTTCCACGTCAACACGTCAAAAAGCTGCTAGAATATTGATGACAGTCCTTGAAAGGCGAATGGAACAGCAAACTGGAGTGTGTAAGGGCCTACATGTGTGTGCACATCAGGGCCATCCTTGGAATGAGATGGTTGATGGGATAGCAAAGGCTGTATGGCATGGTTGGCAACCTCAGACCTCCTTTTCATTTGCGTCAGGTGATTTGTTGCGACATCCTTTGGCCGAATGGGCTTGGTTGCAAGTTGGACCAACAGTCGAATTGCCGGCATTATCTCAATTATTGCGGAATGACTTTCCAGAGACGGGTGCCATAAACATTGATGAGACTCTGAGGTGTAAGCCGTTGCAGCACACCAACAGAGAAGTGTCCGTGACATTGAAGTTTGCTACGGCGAATGTGGCTACTATGGCTTATGGCACTGACGGAGGTGAGGGAGTCAGTGTGAAAGCACTTGAGATTTTGCGGCAGTTTGAGGAGAACCAGGTCCACATCATAGGTGTTCAGGAGTCACGTGCACGGCGATCTCAATGCGTTGAAAATGGACCTTACACCAGACTGATTGCGGCCGGAGAATGTGGTAATGCTGGTGTTGAGTTGTGGATCAATGGACAAGCACTTGCAAAGGCATTCAAAACTGTTTTCACGGCAGAAAAGGATTTATGTGTTTGGTATCAAAGCAAGAGAGTTCTTGGAGTGCGATGCAATTTTGGAGCCATTGCTTTTGATGTTTTGGTGCTCTATGCGCCACAACGAGGCAGACCTCCAGGAGAGGTGCAGCAATGGTGGGATGACCTCCAAAACGTGGTGGCCAAAAGAGACCCGCACGTCACACTTTTTTGCTTGGGAGACCTGAACTGCAAAATCGGAAACATAGTCACAGAAGGGATCGGCGAGCATGGTGCTGACATTGAAGATGTTGGAGGAGCAAGATTCCGGGAGTTTTGCGAAGCACACCAATTGATTGTGCCTTCCACATTCGAGCAATGGCACCAAGGACCT